CATTGCTTTTGAATAAACCACGTGTTGCTATAGTGACATTGCTTTGTAACATGGCGTAAGATAACTTGCGATATTGACTGTATGCGCGAAGAGATTCTTCACTATTCTGTCATATTTAAGTTGCACTTATTTCAATTCCAGCAAAAATTTGAGTTCATAACTTTTCGTATGTGGTGCAACCCAGACTGGCAAAGTCGGGACTTCTTTTTTGTTTTGCAAAAAAAATATAATTAATTGTCAATTTGGCCTTTTTAGCGTGATCGCAAAAACTAGCGTGGCCGCGAAGAAAATCGAAAGATTTCGCGGCGAGTGGGGAACATATTTCATTAATTAAAAATTACACCTATGTTTGAGAAAATCGCCCCGACTGTGGCCAGTCTAGGTGCAACCGTCAGATGGTATACATTAACAAGGCGCTCATTTGAAAGGTCTATTGTGGAATCAAAAAACAAAAGCAAGAACAATACAAAGGCGGTCATCTTTGATTGAAAACAATTGCCATCTTACAATACATAGTCAAAAGCATTGAAAAACTGCTAAAATAGTAACTTAGCTCGACTGGATGTCGTGCAGCCGTGCCTGAGAAGCGACACTTGGGTTTTTGAGTTTACGATTCATCAAATAACACTATTGTTGACATTTTAATATTATCAAGATTGACTATGATCATACTGTACATAAAGACGCACCTCAAAACGACACACGTAGAACACAAATAAATAACGTCTGCTAATGATGATAGTCTGAACTATTTCAATGCCGTATTTTACCGCTTAAATCAGGGTGCAAGATATGCACATTTTAATGTACTTTCTATCATGATACTGGTTTGTTAATTTTAGGTAAAATATACATCATTTTCCCTTGGCTACAAAACACATTGAAAATATCTTATTTTGTGAAAGAGATAGATGTGATTACAGCCGAAAATTCAAAACAAAATCAAGCATGTAACATGTAAACAAACATGTAAACAATTTCCCGCTTCGAGTCATCGATAACTGGGATATTATATATTCCTATCGGTTATCGGTTACCTATTTCTTCTTGAAATATTGTTTGTAACTGAAGTATATCTGTTTTTATTAATTTAGTCTGTAGAGATACTGCTCTCAGTATCACATGACAGTCGTGTAAGAGTCTCATTATTTTTGCATTTTTTTTTTTTTTACAAACGACGACTTCAGCATTAAACAACGTTCCGTCTGAAAATAATATCATTTTATTTTACTTAAGTATAATATGCTGGTTTTTACTCATAATTTTAGCAACTACTATACAATGCTGAACTTTCGCTTGGGATTAATTTTCGCTCATTTCGCTGAAGGAATGAATAAGTGAAAATAAAATCCAGCCGATATACCTTTTTTTCTATATTTTACATTCAACTGGTCAACAATTAGTGAAAATAAATTCTATACAAAACACCTAAAAAATTCTTTCAGCGAAAATTAATTCCAGCTAAAATAAAGTATTTTACAATGCTCAATGTTCTAGTTTGTGATACGTGCTTGAGGTTCACGCTCTGGGGGGGGGTGTCTCATAAACAAAGGTCTCAGTGAAATGGTGTCTGTTTCAAATCATGTCACGATGAGACCATGTGATAGACCACAGACCCTCTTTGTATGAATAGACGCGTGAACCCAACAGGTAGACATTAACACGACGCGCAGATCAGTCGAATACAAGAACAATAGATACTCGACCATCTTGGATTTATAACAATCGCCCGAGACAAGGCACTGCGACGCGGAATAGTCAAACGCGCCGCTAAATCCATGGCATTGCTGTCAATCACGCCTTTGGCATCATAAAGCTGCAACAACTCGTCGGCTGTGACTTTTATGTGGTTTGAACTGCAGTGTTTGCAACTAGCTTTTTGTTCAATAAAGATGGCGTATCCAAGCAACCGATGCAACGTCATAAGATACTAGTACATGCTCCATATGGTCCCATAAAGAAGACACCGAATGCGTCTGTTTAGTGTCTCATTGTTTTGTGGCTTCGTACAGCCCAACACCTACCCTATTTACAAACTCGTTTATGTACTAGTAAGTCAAAGCTGACATGTTGCAGTTCTCAGCATACCTATAGAGACACTGGCCCGTTACAGTAGTGTACATTATGTATTAACAAAAGGACAACAATAAAGAAACCTTGATGTATTACACACGGCCGGGTCTAAGCATGAATTCGAGTTACGACCCCTGTCGAAGACTAATCTGGAGAAATTCTCGAAAATATCGCAATTACGCCAATAGGTGAAATTTGAATTTAAAAAAAACAAACAGATTCCTGAACAGACTTGAACTTAAAAATAAAATATAATGTGCACACGGTCTTTGTCATTAGTGCTGATCGAAGTACAAATGTACATGTATTACTTTTCCGAGCACGCCATTTTCTTCATCGCCAATGATCGTTTCTTCAATTTATTTAGATATTTTACCAAATAGTGATAGTTGGCTTAAAGTTATATTATAAATAATGTGACAAGTTACCCGGAAGAAGCAAGCATTTGACATTTGAAACCACTCCACTATACATCGTGACGGCCAGCGTCGTGACCCCCGTTTATTACCACGATAGTGAACGCGTCATCCATACCACGGTGTTATAATACTTAAATGATGTTTGGGCACGAAAAACACACTCAGTAATGATATAACCAACAAATAGAAATAAATCCACAACCAGTACAATGATAGGTCTGACCATGAAGGCGATAAAATAACCATTATACTAGTATTAGTTACACCAATACTAGTAACTATGCGTACCGTGTATTCGTATATTGTATTAATTTTTATTTGCATACCGGTTGCGTATTGATTATGTATAGATAAGGTATTGCATTATATTATGTCAACTGAAATATACTATACACAATCCTAACACGTGTGTGTCTCCTTAAAAGTGTCATAAATCGTGCCTTGGACTAATTGTCCAGAGTTTGTGAAATGGTTTTGTGGGGTTTGTTATTAGAACCAAGAAGTATATATATATTGATAATTCCGTCATAAATTGAACCATTAACTGCCACATTGTCCCCAGATCGTTTGTCATCGTCATGGATATCGTATTTGGAATTGATATGATGACGTGTTTTGTGGTGTAATCGATGACACAACACACTAAAATTGATCGAAATCGAGTTTTAGGAATAAAATAGTTTACATGAGTCGATACGTCGTATATGTATATATGTCACCCCAACCCGAGTATTCTTTCGTTATTTTGACAATTATTTATTAGTAGTTTTGTGTTTATATGTGATTGTGTTTTAAATACAGACACGACATAAATCCGTGGGTGGTAATTCGAGACGTCTTCTTCCGTTCCTGTGGTCTAGTCTTTATTTAAAGTGGCCCACCGTGGACAACGATACGATACGTGTGTTATTCGTCGTGCCATTGTACTCGCTAAATACACACTGTAGGCATCTGTGTTCGATAGCCGACCAGACACCCCTGTCTAGATTTTCTCCACACAGACGTCGCGATTTTTCAGACAGTGTCTTAACGCAGTCTGAAAATGTTGGGTCACGACATTGAAAGCTCTGCTTGTCCGCACTTGCATTCATTTTTTTTTTAGGAGTAACCTAGTTTTTAACTGAAACAAGAATTTTATTTTCGCAAATAAAAACGCATCCACTGCAATTTTTTAGAAAACATATTGTATGATAGTGTCAAATTGTGATTCTCCGTCAATGGACATCTGACATCGTCGGAGCTTTGACAATCACACCACTTTTTCCAAAAATAAGTGCTAACTATGATCGTTTAACACCCCATTTGCCCCATACTTGCGATTTCCGTGGCACGTGGACAAAGTGAAGATATACACATACTGTTAGTGACGACTCGCGCCCATGGTTAACCGCGAACATTACACTCATCTAGCACCTTTTGTGGTTATTTAAAAAAAATATACGAACGGTAGTGAGTGTGTAAGTTGGGGTGCCGTTGTTGGCTGGTAATGGTAATGGCTGCACTAAATATACAATATATATCTGCGATTTAGTAAATAAAGTTTAATAACTAGTTGTTAGTTGTGTTAATTTCTTTTTGTTTATCAAAAGTTTTTTTTTTATCCATAAGTCTTTGAGTGAAATGTATTTTTTATTTGGTGCAGCTCCTAGTTCACATAGTGAGCCCCTGTTACAAAAGGGAAGCAATAAATAAATAAATAAATAGTTGTAGATAATACGTGTAACTAGTATTAGTATCACCATAATTATTTATTTCTTCAACAAGTTATATTATTAAAGTATGTTCATACTTCATTTTCAAACCATTTAACGTATTTGAGATACGTACAATGTAATTTGTGGTGGTATAGGACCGAGAGGGGCACTGACTTGTAGCTCGTTTACCTACCAGCCACGCGGCCAGCATGCCGATACATTCAAACCAATATTGTCTCGGTTCAAAGCCCTGGCACACAGTTTTCAAAGTAGGCCGGTTAGTTTCCTTAACTTTATTTAACAAACGGGTATTAGCTTTGAATCAGTTAACTTAGGAATTATTGACCTACAGTGTACGTGGTTCATTCGAGTTCATAACCGTACGTAGCTATAGCTTCGTGGAAACGTTGCGTTGTTCAGTTAGCGGGAACTCATTAGGTTTCAGCCATTCAGAATCAGTGCGAAAGGTTACATACGCCTTATATGGGCATACCTCCAACGCAACGCATGGTCTACCGAGAACTGAGTTGACGCAGGTCGTAGTATGTTTCAACGAAACGTTCATTCATAAATACGAAGGGAATAACACGTTCTGATTGGCAGACGTCACAGAAAGGCATGCCCTTTATTTACATATAAAAGGCGCTTTGAAAAACAAATGACGTCAACAAACAATACCTCCATAGAGAGAATTGGCCCCGCCTCCCAGATTATCCAATCAGAGGATAGCAACCATATGAATGGCAAAGTAGATCGGGACTCTCCCGTCTGATATAAAGCCTAACCCACGCTCTAGTCAGGTAGTCAGTTCTCTCGAGCATTCAGATGAACACACTTCGATAATACCCAAGATCCTTTTTTTACGTTTTGATATTTTTATACGAACTTGTTTATAATTATCGCGATCTCTTGTGGACATCTACATATACAATATTGGCGTTAATTATTTATCGAGTCGAGTCTATCGTACTGTGATATCTACCGTGTATACCGTGACTGAGTCTTCACCGATATCATTCGACTACACCGTTGAGCGAATAATTCTGTCGTGAAGCCAGGGTATTACATCAACCAAAATACGAATTTACTGAAGGTGGGTAGTGTTGTCGTTTCTCATGTTCTTTGACAAATTGTCATGACATTCGCCGCTCGTTTGTTCATATTCGATCTTCATTGATAAACAACATGGCGCATTTAACCCGTATATTTTATGTGTCGACCAACATAGCTGAGTAACATGTCTATTTTTATTCCCTAGGCTCCAATAGAAGTGCCTTTTGCAACTATGAAGATCGATAGCGAAACATACGAAGAGAGGTTTGCCATGGAGGCTACAAAACCCATGAAAATCAACAATAAGGTACGTTTTGATCTTATACAACGTTTATGGACGGCCATTCATTCTTACTGAGCCGACGTCAGTGCGTGTGTCGCTATTGAATCCATTTGTTGGCTTACCCACGTTTTGCCTGTCAAATATTACCAGTTTTAGCAACCTGCTGCTGTCTAGCAGCGCTACATCACTCAACCCAAAGCCGCCTTGATGTCAACGGGTCGGCTCTTGTGGAGTTGGCGGTCATTATCAAGACCTATTAGAGCTATCGTCGAGATTACGTTTCTATTGTTTCTAGGACAATACTGGCCCTATTCTTGTTTACACTGGTTATGAAAAGTGTTTTCAGAGCTTGAGTAAACATCTCATAATCCATTAAATTTACGCTGTCAAAACATTGGACACTGCGACGTGACAGCATTTCACCACGCGCTGACACTTACCGTGTGACGTCGATGTTTATTGCGCAATAGGTCACTGAATATATAAGTACAAATTCCGTGTCGTATTGAGCCCCGCATCTGTTGCTCAGTTACCCAAGGTCACCGATATTTAAAATGCGTATATTTACGTGCTATTCGGCATGATTATGTGTATGACACATATCTGAGGGCGGTCAAGGCTAGGTGAAATCGTTTTCTATTGCGTTTCATGGAACTCCCGGGCATCACGTATCACTCCCTCGGAATCACGACTTCTAAAATCATTTCACTCATGTTCTATCCGTATCCTACCCAGTGTTGGCAGCCTTCTCTCTAGGAACTTCCTGAAAGTTTGTGATTGGGCCTAAAATTTGCATATTTATATTTTCCAGGCATATAACGGAGAACTTGCAGCAGAAGTTGCTAGATTGAATAGTATGCTGAACGATTCTGACGTTTATATGCATTACAGAGAACCAAGTTATCAAGTTGTACCAACAGGATTGGACTTGCCGGACGACATCAATGGTGAGATTTCTTTTTGTTTTATTTTTCATTTTGTTGAAGTATTTGCCAAGTGTTAGCCATCCATGGAGATTTTTAACCATAAGCTTATTTTTTCTTAGTACAAAAACTTCTGGTACAAGTTAAGTTCAGGTTTTTCCATTTCCAGTATATTGTATATTTTCCCATACTAGTATATTGTCACGCAAGGCAACGATTTTCAGATTCAAACGGGAAAAGCTATTTTTTTCAGACATGTTTCCAGACATAGTTTTGGTTTCATGTCTGTTGTCGAAACAATAGGTCTACAATTGTCATGTGCTATGTGGTGCCCCATGGAGTAAATCTACCTGATAGCTATTTATAAATTACCGGATTAAAACCGCGGGAAGTGTGTTTCTTATCTGTGACTCTCAGCATTATATTTTTATGGTAGTTCTTCCTTCCTTTTAGCTTGTGTGCTTCACAGATACAGACGCTTTTGGTGTTTAGGTTACAGTTTTGTTTTGGCTTCTCCATTGACATGTGTCATAACACTAGTAAAACTTTTTCTGCCCCAGCACGGACAGAGTTCATTCATTGGCGATATTCTGGGTCATGTTTTGACCCAACCCATTTATTCTGTATAGTAGTATTACCATATATGGTTACAGGGCAAACATCCATTGATGATGTCACTTTTCATTCAATGCTAATGAGTTTCTTGCTACTTAATATTCATGAGGCAGCCTCATTTTCGGTAATTTTAACAGCTCTGCTAGCTAGGTAATAAATTACTCCTCAAAGTGGATATAAAACATGTTTTTTTTGTAACTATGAGCCTTTTAGGCAACTATAGGGCTTGAGTATTTCTTTTAGCTCATTAGCTATACACTAATTGACTAAATAAATCCATAGAATGGTCTCAGAGGGGGTCTAAGCTACAGACTAATCCATTATTAAATGTATTATTATTATTTTACATTGAATTACCCAAAGTCAAAAATAAGTTCATCGACCTCTTTGAAGTTATTCACATTTTAATGATGGAGGATTTGAATTGGTTAAAAAATAGTTAATAACAATAACAATCAGATAATAACAATTTTACCAGGATGGTGTACTATGATTCAGGTCATCATTGCCCCCATTGATAGCTGCCATAAATTCGTCATATTGTTAACCTTTCTCAATTTCAACTGATGGTGGCGCTATTACACACAAATATGTGAGTCATGTACAAGCCTAATTATCATTATCATTGATCCGCCCACACCAGTCACTCAACTCGTCAGGTTCATTGAACTCTTATCATGTAAACAAGAAGCATATTTCATTGATATTGTTGGAGGCCAGCCAGGGAATGTCTTATCAGATTGTCAATCATTCTACCTCTTTGTTAGTTTTGCTTTAACCTGTGTTTTGAGCTGTTTTAGTCTTTTGTTGTTAAATTCCATTCTTTTCATGGATGCTTTGGGTAACAATTACCAAATGAAATGGAATGTTGATGATGACTCGCATCGAACAATATGCTGTTTGAGCAGAATCAATGTCCACCTATAGTCAGGATTAGCTATTTTTGATTAAAATTAAATTTTGAGGGGAGCACTACCGGATGGATTAAAAACAAATTGAATATCTGAGATTACTTTTTTCTTGTTTTCTCACCACAACTAGTAGGGGTCAACACCTGAATGTTTTTGTGACAGGAAACTTGAGTAGTCCACTCTATTGATTTGTGGTTTTGTTAATTGTGTGAATTGTCAACAGAAAAAAACAGGGGAAGTTTCCACTGCCCATATAGGCAAAACAATATGCAAATTATTATGAGAACTTGTCTGTGATTGGTTATGAAATCAGAGTATGCAAATGACTCATATCCCATAGTATAAATTACTGTTGAAGTGAGTAGGTAGGTAGTCAGTCAGACAGTAACCCAACTGAACGAGACACACTTGGCAAATACTTGTGAATCATGACAACTGTTGTAGAACCAGAGATTTGGACAACCCATCATGTCTTTTATCAGAAACCAAATGCATCAACTTATTTCAACAAATGTCATTCCTGGATTCAGAAAAACTCTAATGGTAATGCTTGTTCCAATTGTTTGTTTTTTTATTTCTGTTCTCAATTATAATTCTAAATTCTGTTTTTTTTTCTTTTACAGAGATGCACCCATCTCAGGTTCCTCCTACCCCACGTACTAAAGCACTGATGAATGCCTGTATCACCGAAACTTTTAAGAGCTTTAACAAAGAAAGAGAGATTCTTAATATCCCTAAAGGTAAGGCTCAAGCTATGTTGTTGTTAGTATTTTTATTATCTTTTTATTTTTTTTCAATAGATTTTGTTCATTCTTGTTTTCCACTTCCTAATTATTTAATAATTATTTAATTATTTCAGATCCACGTGTTTGGGATGAAACTCATGTTGTACAGTGGTTGCTATGGGCGATGTCTGAGTTTTCCCTGGAAGGTGTAATGGTTGCACATTTTACAATGAAAGGATGCGAACTCTGTGCTATGTCTGAAGTAGAATTCTTATCAAGGGCTCCACCGTTTGCTGGCGACATCTTGTGGGCACATTTGGAGTCTCTGCAAAAAGACTGTGATCGGGAATTGTCATCACTTGCTAGCTCCCTATCCACCACTTCTACAACTAACAGCGTACCACTAGACCAGGTTCCTGCCAGTTTCTATGAAGCTACCTGTATGCCAGACTTTGAAACGTTCCTCTCAAAAGGTAAGAAACTGTAATAGTTGTCGAATAGCGGAAACCAAATCACGTAGACTTTCATGGTTGGAATCTTTTATTGACATTGTTCCATGCTTGGATGAAGTTACAACCCATTTAATTTGTGAATAATCTACTCAGCTGGTTGTCATGGAGATTCAAAACAATGGCGGTTTTTATGTGGGTATCCTGAACTTATTTACTGGTCATCCAGTCATCCAAAAGTGCTATAAAAGTCATACTTACAATGAAGCTTCTGGGTGGCCACTTGACTTGACAACATGGTGTATAAACAATGTTGGTTCAAACTTGTGTTGCTTAATTAGATAACCCTGTCAACTGAACAACATGAAAATGAACGGGGAAAATAAGACATCAATCTGTACATTGATTCAGTGTATGGAACAATAGCCAACCTGGGTGGCCCATCCATATGTGGAGTAATGAAATGTAGGACCACCAAACATGATGATGTCATTCATTGAAACTCTAGGGATAGTACGTGTAACAGACCACACACAATTCGATTGTAGTCATATTTCAATTTTTCAATTTTTATTTTGCTTGCAGATTACCCAGACCAACCACAAGCAGTTGCTGTTTCCTCCGCACCTCCAGCTTACACAGAAAGCATCTACACACAGTCGCTAGCTACGCTGAATGACATCAATGCTGAAGAACTACTGAACATCAAACAAGAAGATGTGAGCTCTGACTATTACAGCCAGGATTCATCACCATGTTCTAGTTACGCAGACAGTCAAGCACTTGATTTCTACACAAATATGCTTTCAGATCAACCACAGCCAAACATAACATTCCAAGGAAAAAGTTTGAATACAAGTAAGTATAAACGATCAGTTAATATTAATATTTATTGAACAATATTAATCAGAAAAAGCAAAGATTATTTAAACTAACCATATTCAACTTTATTGCTCGCAGGTAGTTTTGGTCGTTTGGATGTTGCAGTTGACGCATATGGCAGTCGTTTCCAACAAGTACCACTATCCAAGCCTCTATCACGTTCAGACAGTTCCGATGTTGGCAGTAATTACAGCAATTCTAGAAGCAACTCACCAGCTACGAATACTACTAGTGTGGAGCATCCATCAAACCCTGTTATCCAAGCAGCCGTTCTTGCTGGCTATTCAGGTATGTCAAGTTCACATTATTTTCGTCCAATTACAATATATGATTTTTATTATTTTATATTTTTTGTAAATTTATGAAATTTCAATAGAAAAGTGTCTTATCAGTTCATTGTATTTTGTCTTCACAGGAAGCGGCCCAATTCAATTGTGGCAATTTTTGCTCGAAAAGTTAACAGACAAAGCATGTCAACATTTGATCAGCTGGACCGGTGATGGCTGGGAATTCAAACTTTCAGACCCCGATGAAATCGCACGTCGCTGGGGGCAGCGTAAAAACAAGCCTAAGATGAACTACGAAAAACTGAGCCGTGGTCTTCGCTACTATTACGACAAGAACATCATCCACAAAACATCAGGAAAACGCTACGTCTATCGCTTTGTATGTGATCTTCAGAGTCTACTGGGTTACACTCCAGAAGAGATACACCAGATGGTCGGAGTCAGACCTTTGGACAAGGATGATGAGTGAATCTTGGTTGCCATAGATACAGGTTCACCTGTAAAAACTCTTTCACAACCGGGAAATGTGCAACAATATCCCATGATGCAACAGTGCATCTGTGTTGTATTTTCTGTCTAATCAAGTTCAGTTTCTGGGTCATGTAACCCATTTTTAGAAGATTGACGTTGTAAGGCTGAAAAAATTGTGCTAATCGAGTCTGGTTACACCTGGTCTTGGTAGGTTATTACAAGTGTTAGGTTACGCGTTCAGACAGTAAATGCAGAAGGCAAGCAATAATAATGAGAGGTGTTTGGCACACTGCCAATAAAATTTGAATTTTACTGACAATCATGATCTCACCATAATGTTTCTGAAGGTGCTATTGTAAAGCAGTTGATGAAAAAAATAAGTAAGGAGAATTTACATCCTTATTCATGTATCAGAATGTGAGTTTACTTAAAAAAGAGAATTTTTTTGTATTGTTTTGTAAATATTATTTCAGTTTTTACAACCTAAAAAGGATTGTATTATTTGTCTGATGCTGGCATCAACGTTTTTGATTTTTTTCTGACAATCCTGATATGTTTGGTTGTTATTTGTTTACTCAAGGTCTTGATGACAAGTTAGTGTATATGTACGGATAGATTTTTTTGAAGAAAAGTTTTTCTGCATTGTTACAGTTTTTATTTTTGTATCAAATAAAATATGTACAGTGACTCTATATTTAAGTAAATAATAGTTTTTCTTGTTTTTCATTCATGTATTAATATATCAAATACCTCACAATGAAACAGACAGGAATTCGGCACTGGTGGCTGTGTTTGGCTGGTCCAATATACACAAAATTTGTACATTGAGATAGCATGGTTATGTAAATCTTGTCTGAGTTATCGTGGGCATCATTTACCTAGAACAATACATAGGAAGTCTTGGCTCCGTCCTTTATGATGATTGAATTGCTCATATGTGAAGGGATACGAATCATAATTTGGAAGTTGATATAAAGGGCAAGATATAAAGTGACCCATGTTCGTGTAGCTCGGTTTACAGCACACAAATCTGTACAGGGTTTTAATCCTTGTATAACAGGTTTTTTATTGTGATCCAATATTTTGTACATACATGAAGTCTGTTATTTACAAATCTTCATACATGTTACTATGGAAACAAATAAAACTGTTGAATTTTAAACATAAAATGTTTTTGTAAATTTGATGTATAAGTGTATGATTATGAACATTTCTTCATTAATGAATGATTGGTCCACCCCTGACAGTGCAGTACTATTTCCAAGAATTGTCCTTCCCATCAGAGTGCCTTTTTCGCACATACTTCTACTCTCTACGCTGTGACTGGTCCAATTGTGTATAATAAAACTGTAAATGCATTAATTTATTCAATGAGTTTAAACTTTACTATTCAATGAATGAAATTCATTAAATCTGTGTGAACATATAACATTTGAATAAAAAATGTTTCACTGGGAAATCCTTAATTCAAACCAAGTGAATATAATCAAACCTTTTACAGTATTCTCAAGTGTTGGACCATTAGATACTTTGGGGCCGTTCGCAAATTTGGAAAAAAAAAACAGGATAAAATCTCAAGGACGAAATCCTGCAGGGTCCAATTGCAGAAAAAAACTGAGTTAAAATCTTAGGGAAAAATATTTCACACAGTGGAAAAAAATACAGCAAATTCATCATGGCAAACTAAAACACAAACAGAAAACACTATTTTTAGCTCTGCTGTCGACTTTGTCGAGCGGAGCTTATCATATGAGTGATTGTCCGTCGTCTGTCGTCGTTGTCCGTCGTCGTCCAGGTCAATGTTTTACTTTTTCGACTTCTTCTTGAAAACTACAAGCCTGAATGCTTTGATACTTGGTGTATATGTACTTTGGGTGGTCCTCTCTTAGGTTTGTTCATTTCATGATGATATCTTCAATTCTCTAATTTTGGTGAATATTTTTGTCATTTTTGGTAAAAAGTGATATTTTCGACTTCTTGTTAAAAACTGCAAGTCCAATTGCTTTGATATTACATATATAGATGCTACATTTGGACCTTTCTCAGATTTGTTCATTTCGTGATGATATCTTTCATTCTCTAATTTTCATGAATATTTTTGGTAAAAAGTGATATTTTCGACTTCTTGTTAAAAACCAAAATTCCAATTGCTTTGATATTACATATATAGGTACTACATGTGGACCTTTCTCAGATTTGTTCATTTCGTGATGATATCCTCAATTCTCTAATTTTGGTGAATTTTTTTGTCATTTTTGGTAAAAGGTGATATTTTGAATTCTTGTTGAAAACAGCAAGTCCGATTGCTATACATACTATACATATTGTTCATTTTCTAATGATATCTTCAGTTCTTAATTGAAATGTGTCTTGCTAACAGCGGAGCTATCTCAGCCGAGATGCTGCTTGTTTTGGTAATGGTACACCTATAATAAGCAAATGCCACAATTGTTGAAGGCAGTGCATTGTATATGTATATATTAACATAGCATAGAACATGGATTACAATGTGTTGCCCTTTAATATAGTAGACGTGCTATTTAATATAGTAGACAAGCCCTTTAATATAGTAGACATGCCCTTTACTATAGTAGATGTGCCCTTTAATATAGTAGATGTGCCCTTTAATACAGTAGATGTGTCCTTAACTATAGTAGACAAGCCCTTTAATATAGTAGACGTGCTATTTAATATAGTAGACAAGCCCTTTAATATAGTAGACATGCCCTTTAATATAGTAGACGTGCCCTTTACTATAGTAGATGTGCCCTTTAATATAGTAGACGTGCCCTTTAATATAGTAGATGTGTCCTTAACTATAGTAGACAAGCCCTTTACTATTGTAGAAGTGCCTTTTAATATAGTAGAAGTGCCCTTTACTATAGTAGATGTGCCCTTTAATATAGTAGATGTCCCCTTTAATATAGTAGACGTGCCCTTTAATACAGTAGATGTGCCCTTTAATATAGTAGACGTGCCCTTTAATATAGTAGATGTGCCCTTTAATATAGTAGACGTGCCCTTTAATACAGTAGATGTGTCCTTAACTATAGTAGACAAGCCCTTTACTATAGGAGAAGTGCCCTTTAATATAGTGGACGTGCCCTTTAATACAGTAGATGTGTCCTTAACTATAGTAGACAAGCCCTTTACTATAGTAGAAATGCCCTTTAATATAGTAGACGTGCCCTTTAATATAGTAGATGTGCCCTTTAATATAGTAGACGTGCCCTTTAATATAGTAGATGTGCCTTTTAATGTAGTAGACGTGTCCTTTAATATAGTAGACGTGCCCTTTAATATAGTAGACGTGCCCTTTAATATAGTAGACGTGCCCTTTAATATAGTAGACGTGCCCTTTAATATAGTAGATGTGTCCTTAACTATAGTAGACAAGCCCTTTACTATAGTAGATGTGCCCTTTAATATACTAGTAGTATTCAACAAAGATTCTTTTACACACACAAAACTCCTTAATTCCGTGACCGTGTACCAAGCCATAATGTAATACTAAATATTTTATTGTCTGGATAATTCGCCAAGAAATCAATACATATTATTATTTATACAATATATACGTAATTATTCTCATTGAATAAATCAACATGGCTGCGTTTTTTTGTCGATCATATTATTTTTGATCAATGTAATATCACTCTTCCAGAATGTCTCTGCACAAAATGAGAAAACTCATGTTGATATCATATCAGGCTATAAGACAACACGCACACATCTAGACATTACCAGAACACTAAATAGCGTTCTATGTAGTGTATATGGTCGGCATAAAGTTTACCGAGTATCGCATGATTTTAAATTATACGAATAAGTTGAACATGTACGTGACCCGGTCTAGCAATTTTTTCTTTTAGGTCAGCTTTGCTAGATTCACAAAAAGCAAGATTGGAATACTTTTAAAATGTTTAAACATAGTATAAATACATTTTGGTTGATTATACTTGACATTGAACAGATTGACTACCTTTAACACTGAACATTCCATTGCGATGATGCTATACTATGTTACAGTGTGATGAAATACATTTTAAACTCGCCTCAGCCTCAGCAACTATGACACTAGACAAATTAGTACTAGTACTTAAATCGCGGTGGACGTCGCGCAGCGCGTGTTCGAATTTCATGTAAACAAACAATGTATTTTACACGCGTTGTATACGTCTATGAGTCCCATATCGAACAGGACGCGACACGTCCTTTAATTTTGTTTTCAACTTCCCATATTTCAAAGTAATTAATGGGATGGGTGTACAGCAGTTAATTTTGTTCTTTATCAGGTCGGGTCACAAAGCTGACCTTACCGATGGTTTTTATGCAAGCCACAGTCATGGGTCGTACATACACTGGACAAAGGGTAAATCTTCTAAAAAGGGAAGTTTACATCGTTGTGGGTTCATCCACAGTGGCCGTGGTTCATCCCATACAAATAATATCCTAAAAATCAAATTACATGTAGGTTTCACTGCAGAATATGTGCACACTGTAAAAATGACATAGCGTCTCTATGTCTAGAAGAAATCGACATCTACAGCGTAACATGTAGGTCACTGTACCATGACGCATTGCTTCAGGTATTCGCCCGCATGGATTAAAGTTTCACAAACTTGTTTATGGTGATGTCATCTTTTAGGACGCCCACGCTTTAACAGGTTGGTTGCCTTTAGTTACCACCTGCTTTTTGAAGAGGGTTTAAGCTCGAGGTTTGTAACGAAAAACAAAACTTTAATCAAAAGGGGCTCAGTCCGCTCTAAATCTCCAGTTACAGTAGAATAGATACACGTAGGTAGGTTTCATACAAGTATGAGGCTTCGTACCCACGGCTGTGATATTTTCACATCCCCAAATTCCGTAATTTATTAGGTTGTAGTGAAATATATACCTTGTTGATAACCCCGGGGTTGATAATCAGATTATGTGTCTCTAATAGGGGACAAGGGGGATAGCTGGTACAGGTTACAGGAAAGAAAAAAACGGCATTTTACGTTTAGGAAATAAAATGAAAGTTCCATTTACAGTAAAAAATATTTTTTTTAAGATAACGCAAATTCCTAATTACATTGTACATTTTTATAATATTTTTGATAATTTGTGTTTAAAAAATCAAAATTGGAAATTGCGTACGAACTACGACATTAAATTTGGAAAATGCTTTATACGCTTACAAAAAATAATATCTTTGTACAAATTACGGACGAATAAAATAGCTGATTACATTTTACACCTTGCCCATGCCGACGAATTTACGTTTTTTATTTATTTAAATTTTATTATAACGAAAATAAAAACAATCGATTACAGCTTACAAAAATGCCCCTTGCCGACCTTCTAAATACTGAACAATTTTTATTTTTTATATCACAGTATTTGCATCATGATGTTACATTGTTGATTCAGTTCAGTGTGAAGTTATATAAAAACACTCAGGAGCAAACGGGTAACTAATTGCTATTTACTTTATTTGATCTGTATATGGATGTCCATTAAAACATCATACGAGCTTTTACGACATGTTTTCACTTATAAAGTCTCACCACACGCCTTCCATACTTAAAGCGCGGTGGTCGTCGCGCAGCGCGTGTTCGAATTTCATGTAAATAAACAATGTATTTTACACGCGTTGTATACGTCGCTATGAGTCCCATATCAAACAGGACGCGGCGCGACGACCACCACCCTTTAAAGAGGCCGTGATTTCACTTATGTTTTAGTGAGTAGGTTTTGTATGTATCTGTCTTATTATTGGGTATACTGTAAAACATGTTGAAAAAGCGGCATGCAATTTTAGCGAATTGTGGTAAAATGACGTAATAGCGAAATGTTGATTTAGCGAATCTCTCTTGTCATTGTTGATTTCTTTGTTTGATGTCCATTTTGAATTTATAATAAAGTCATTAGCGACATCTTGAATTAGCGAATCAGTTATCTCGTTAAATTCGCGAAAAAGACATGCTCGCGCAAAAAGACATGTTTTACAATAGACTGTTTTGCAGCCATATGGCACCTGGTAAACTAATGTTTTCCTGTTTGAAGATGAATACACTTGTTTGGTTTTCTTTTTATTATTATCTGAGGTTTTGGTTTTCTAAAGCGTTTTATTGTGGTTGCAGGACTAACGTCTTGATGGCGCGACAGCGTAGTCCATTTCGCCCCGTCTCCACCCAATCTAGATTACCGCATGGGACTCACATATGTGTGGTTTGTTTTCACAACCAAAAACAAATTGTTTAGAAGTTGGCCATTAGAAACTCAATGACAGGGATTGGAGGTTGGACAATGATGACCATTCCGACTCTTCGTCTTGTAAATGACTCGAGTGTATGACAGACACGTTGAATTCGGTGTGAAGTATTGGATCAGTAACCGCGTAAAACGGATTATTTTGATAAACTCGGGAAGTAACTTGTAGAAGGATATAGCATGACCTCTTAGCCTGTTCAAATTGTTTATAATATAACATGTAACACAAAACGAGCATAACACAACATCTAGGTAATTATTCTATTTATTCTCATGTTAAGTGATTAAATCGATTTCGCAATTGGTGGTTCCAATTGAAAGGGTCGTGGCTAAATCAAGGTGGTTTACGTAAATGGGAAAATCCAGAATCACTGACTTTGATATCGTAAACTGGGTCCTCAACCTCCGACTCGAAGGGGTGACTCATTGTTTGTGGTCACGTGACAGGCGAGCCCTGAAATAAATTGGTTTTGCAATATGCCGCCCCAGTAGTTTTATCGATCACATGGGGGATATTCACAAGTGATAAACTGGTTACGTGTTTCACAAAGCGGTTAATTAAATGAATATCTATTATCGATTTGATTTTATCAATAAGAGTGTTGAACTTTCTCGTTTTGTATGAATGTGTGACATTTTCATGATATGTTTCTATAGAAACGCCACACCTGTATTATTTGACCTGAATATGTGAAAAGTAATCCCTCTCTTATTATCTTGAAATAAATGAGATTATGAGAACATTTTCAGAAGTATGTGGGTCTTCGGCGTGCTCTGCGTAACTACCGCACTTTATTGTAAGACCCGTCGTTATAAGTGTTGGTAATTTTAATTTGGCTGTCGTCATAATGGTCAATTTACACACCGTCCGTTGAGGGACGGTGATTTACACTACCGTTGTCCCAACGGGAGGAATGTTTCTCACGAAGATATCCCTGAAAGAGATACAGGGAGGATATTTGGTCACTTAAAAGACAATACTGATAGAGCGGGTCACGTTCATGTTCATTCCAGTTGGAAATTTACCCCTAAATTCAGCTTCATTCCTGTATTTTCAAATTGTCAGTTATATTCTATATAACGGTTATATATTATAAACACGTGACCAAGAAAGGCATAATTTAATCTGCAATTTATCCACGTGAACAAGTCTTTTTTAAATAGAGGAATTGCCGGCACTATTTACTAGTCTGTGTTTGGCAGAATTTACTACATATATACGTGATTAGTGAATTTACAAATCGGTAAAACTAGTTGAATACTTATTTTATTTAACAAAATGTACAAACCCACCCATGTAATTATCATGTCATGGGTTATTTTACAATATTTATTTACGGGTTCGATACGGATTTACTGAATGATATGGGTGTAAACTAGAAGAACCAATATTGTCAAAATCGTTAGTTTTCACTGGATATTAATTTCAATGTTATTTTGATCACATTCTCTGAGTTTTGAATTCACGGGTTTCCATGGAAACAACGGATTATACTGTAATTATAATCGCGAACAGCGTAACTAAAGTTAAATAAGTAATTAATTAATTAATGCATTTAGAATAGTTCGCCTCGGATAAGAATGACATTAATTAGACTTAGTTATATTAAACATTTTTTTTACTATAAAATATGAATTCATTTCAGATTCACAATGGTGGAATCAAAGACGACTCGAAATACAACATAAAATTATTACTATAATTAATTTAAAATGTTATTTTAAATAATTATTTCACATATAAATACATATTGCCTTAAATATATATATAAATCATAGTATGTCGGTCAGTCACTATATTATCGTACGTGACCCATGTCATTACTTTACAATTATGTTCACATGTATATTGCGTTCTGTCTCAATAAAATAAATTGTTTATAAAAGGATTTCACCTTCAGCCCCTCATGCATGTCACCATGGTAAATTTAAAATGAAAACGTGACCAATGGTGTTACACAGTACACAACAAGCCGTTTGAAACAGACACAGTTTCATGAAATTGACATACTTCCCCTGACACGCGTGGTTGCCTTTGACAATGAACTACTTTCTTTGACGGACTTTCCGCCTTAATCGCCGACAACTCTGGGCACTTCCCCTTAGGGCATACCGTTTATACTCGGACCGACAATTTTCTCTTTCACGATGCATCTGGTAATACTAGTGAGCGGTCAGTTTTGACGAGATTAACGACTGTCCACATTGCATTGTACGTCGGTAGCGACTGTCAACATTCGCATTGT